TCTGTCAGAATTCACCTCAGTAGAATTATACCAGATTATAGTACCCAAAGACATGGCCAAACATCTTCTGCAGCAAATGTCTACAAGCACACATAAAATAGTTCAACTTCAAAATATACTTCACCTTATACCTTTTCCCTCATGTCAGCTGGTGCAAGTCACATCAACTGTTTGTACCTAGAAAGAAACCCAACAGCTGGAGCAGAATAAAAACAGCTACAAATTTTGTCAGTCAGCCTTTGCTCTCTGTGCCCAGGCCAGTCCTCCTGCACGTACCTGTGATCATGGCTGAGCTGAGAGGAGCTCAGTCAGAGTACCTGAAAGGTGGATGTCCTGGTTTAGGGATAGGGAAACATTTCATTTCTGTGTTGTTGGAACAGAAGAAGATAGAGCAGAGGATCACACATGTCCTCATTTGGCCTTTTCTCTACCTGTTCTGTTCCACAGTTTGAAACACAGTGTCAGTGAACACTGTGATTTCCCCTTGGACCATCACCTTTGATGGCTGTAGACAACAATACAGAACACAAAACAAAACAGTTGGAGGTGCTGCTGGAGCAGATCCTCCCAGCCACAGACATATCTATACCCTGCAGAGGAACTACTCCCACCTAGGAGTTGTGCTCAAACCTGCTAATTCCATACACAACTTCAGAGCTCTGCTTGTTTCCACTTCCAGACATGAAAGAAAACTGACCACAAATTTTTGATCACTGCTTTAGGAAGTCCAGAAGCGATTAACAGACTTGCAACAGCATCACTACAGTGATAGCAGCTACCTTCATTGAAACCTCCTACTACATAGAGAAACCCTCTACACATATTCAGGTAGAAAAGCCTCCAAAGAAATGATTCAACACATAAGATACCAAGTGATCCAAGCACCAGACCACTGGCAGACCTTGAGAACACAAGTGTTAAACTCCCCATCTCCAAGTAGGCACTTATCACAGAGCACATGCAGTAACCACCTGCTTGTATATTTGCCCCTATTTTCCATGATTCTCTGATTCTAGATCCTCTTGCTGCTCCGAGGGAGGACCCAAGGAGTCTTTTCACATCTCCATTCCTTACCTTCACACCTGTGTACTGCCAGTTCCTTTGTACATCATTGCCTATCCATTGAGGAGAGATTATAAAGAAACCAGGTATCATTACTGAAACCATGCTTACGGATGACTTGAAATTGTTCATTCCAGAAATCCCACATAGTCTTAAAAAGGAACATTTTGCAGAGAGACAGAACAACTAATAAAGATATATCGTGGCTGCTTTGTGCTGTGAAGATGGCCTTTGCCATGGGTAATGACTAACTAATATCAATAATAATGCTAAGTTTGGAGAATGCCTCAGCACTGAGTCAGCACTCAGGTAAGGCAATGTTTTATTGAAGCTCATTAAAGGAAAAAAAAACAATAAAAGGCTTAAGAACCATCACAGATCCTGACTACATGAAACTAATAAACAGTATGATAAACTATCATTTACATGAATAAGAAAAGGAACGGACATTTCATTTCCTATGCCTTTGTTGCTCCCATTCAGTTGCATTGATGGGGCTATTAGGGGAAACCCCACAGAGCCTGTTTACAAGAGAACTTTGCAAAACAAAGACAGTCACGGTCAAAACTTTGCTGGTCAATTCAGTATATTAACATGGAAGAGCTGGGAAGAAATCAAGCATTCTGAAATAGCCTGATGGGATAGTTCAGTTGGAAAGGGTAACTAGCAGGGAAGGATCTCATGGATATCTAGATGTGTGGTGGCCACAGAAAAAGCATCTAGTTTTCAAACAGGCTTGATCAAACTTTCTTCATCCAGGCAAAAGTATCATTGCACAACACCCTGAGCAAAATGGCAACTGCAAAAGTGCTCTGCATGCAGGGAACAGCATTATCTAAGTCTGGCTCCTGAGAAACAGGCACAAGCTCTTAGCTTTCCATAAATGTGGAAAATGTGCCATGCCAACACCTGACAATACATTTCAGAAGCACATACACCATCTGAGCAGCTCCCAGAAACAATCTCATTTTCCTTCTTTCTTTTAACTAACAGAATGGAATTGCTCCAGATTTACAATGAAGGGAACTAAAAGCACAGTTGGAACCACTGTTTTTAAGAAGACCTTGCTATGCCATAACTTTTCACAGTTCAGTTGCTAAATTACACATTATAAAAATAAGTAAGTGCAATTGAAAGACTGTGTTAATCTCAGAAGTTTAAACACTGCTCTGTAATGACTGCTTTATAGTGGCCCATAGTAAAGTGCTTTATGGGGCGTGCAGGAGATTTGTCCGCACGCGTCTGTTAAACACTCCTGGGAATTTTCTCACACAGAGAGGAGGCCTGACACAAAACTAAACATGGACAAAACACTGCCTCATTCACATGGCACCAGGAATGCCACCCAGTAAGAAAACACTTTACAACACCTAAGAGAGATAAGAACCACCAGCCAGCATAGCAATAAGATGTTGCTTTTGGAAAAGCAGAATTTCCTAACCTGACAATCTGTGCAGATTCTGGAAGCATGACAAAAACACAACTGTCCCCTAGCAAGGAAATGAGACCTTAAGCATTGATTATAAAGAGATTATAAAGAAGCATGGGTGGTTTCTAGAGTAGTTTACTAAAGCCAAGAGTATTTAAAGCCAAATTAGGTTCTTGCACATAAAAATTCCCTGGAACTTTGGGTGAGTTCCCTCATGATTACTTCCTCAGGCAGTCTGCAGCTGACAGACTGCACCCAACTGCCTCTTCTCTCTGGCCAAACAGGATCATCCAGGTTGACTCAGATCCCAGGTGAAAAGACTTTTCAATAAATTAAATATGATGGTCGAAAGTTGCAGACATAGTACCAGAGCTGTGTTTTGGTTTTATTTTTTTAATAATCATGGTTCAGAATAGTGCCACAGCTTAGCAAGATGAGCCAGTCAGGGGTTCCCAAGGGTCAAAACTTGATGCCACAGTAGACAAATTCTGCATGAAGATCTTTGTGCAAAAGCATCACCTCCCTCAGCCCTAAAACACTCACAAGCAGTGAACTGAATTCTCAATCCTTCAGTGTTACCATTATTAGAGTATCATTCATCCACTTGTCTGCAAACTGCCTTCTTCTCCCACCAACTGCTCCATCTCACAACAATACCTCACTTCTGGCTCAGAAAACCAACAAAAACTCTCCCCTGAGCTTTGGCAGTGTCCCCATGATCACTTGGCAGGAGGTAGCATGACAATGATTTGACAGGCATCCCCCCAAGGAGACTCCACGCATCAGTTACGCTGCTGACACACTCCACACCGAGGAGCTCATCCACACCAGGGGAGGTTTCTAGGTGCAGGCAGCTGCTCGATCGACCACCCTAAAGCAGCAGAACCAAGAAGTACCTATTAGCTGTGATGCTGCTGGTGACACTGCAATGCTGGCTTGTGCCAAGTCTGCTTGAGGAAAGCAAAGCAGCAGGTAATCAGCAGAGAGGACTGAAATTCTATTTCTAGTCCAAGGACAAATCTAATAAAGGGAATAGCACTGCAAAAACAATTGCAAGTTATATTTTTATGATGATCTTTTATCTTTTTATGACGTGCAAAAAGTCTTTCCAACAAAATAGAAATTATTTATCTTCTGATTTTGTTTTTTTAAAAGAAATTAAAGAACCACAATATTTTCAGAGGATGAGCTGTTGTTGGTTACCACCAAAAATAGCCAACATTTACTGTGCAGAACAAATTATCTTGATCTGACTACTCTGACTGACTGAATGAACACTGACCCTCATTAACTGTTGTTTAAAGGATGGTCAAGATTAATAGCTTAAATGAAGGAAGAAACAAGTCTCCTTTTCCAACATGAGAAAAGCAGGGGTTTGCAAATCTCCACAAAACAATCTTAAATCTCCTGAATGACAGTCCCAAACTCTAACCAGTGACTCATTCCTGAAGATCGGCACACTGGAATGTCCTGACAGATGCAGGCAATGGGGAAACTGTCTTTGGCTGAGCTTCTGCCATCTTTAAAGTATGTCCAAGTTTCCTGGCAGTTTAACTGTTCCTGAAGATAATAAATCCCTTGTGAGACAGGAAGGCTGAACAATTACATACTTCAAGACTAGCTCAATCTGTATAGTTCCAAGAACAACTTCCAGTGCAGGTGATAGCAAGCATCTGATAAGCAAAGTTCCAGGAGGAACGCTGTTGAAAAAAACAGAAATATGGGAAACAGACTGAACTGCTCATTTTATGGACATAGCTCTATTCCAGCACTCAGGCAGTAAAACTAAAATGAACTCCCTCAAAGTTAAAAATGCCCAATAAAACCCAATAGGCAAGGTAATTATTTTGACTCGACAGACGGAGAGGACAGATTACTTGCTCCTGCAAAGAATATCTCACTTTGCTGACATCAAATGGAAAAATCCCTTTTAGTTAATCTGAGTTTTTTTTCCCAAAGCTACATTTTCTGTTCTACAGATTTATAACCCTGGCCAAGCCTGTACCACTCTGGGCTAAATAAAAAACCCAAAGACCATAAGAAATGTAGCAACAAATGCCCCAACAGCCTCTCCCGTGGTGTTACAGCTCCCCTGCATGGGATCAGGCTGCTCAGCCACTTCGCATTCCTGGGACTGTCCCTCTGCCCACATCCGACTTATTAATGCAGGTTCCTCAGGATCTCAGCTGTGACATCTGCTGGATCACTACTTGTCCTTTGTGTAGGAATAGAGTGAGTCAGGATGGCACCCATGGGATAAAGGCAACTTCTCTCTTTCCACCTTTTTCTTAGGAAAATGGAAACAAACACCAGTCAGCAATTGAAGGTGTTAGCTCTAACATTAGAAAGTAATTCCGTGATAGATGCACACCTGAATGACTGAGAGTCTATATTGTGTGGATGATAAAGGTGACATTAGCAACATCAGCTGCCCTTGTCCTTTCTCCCACCCTCCCACTCATCCAACAAAACGCAGCTCTGGCACAAAAGCAAAACTGAAAATTCCAGAAGGAACATAAAGGATGTATTTATTGTCAAACAGTAGCACATCAAAATAAGCAGGCAAATGTCATAGCAACTAACAAAATACAGGGGAATGCCTTGTGAATTCACCAGATTTTCTGGAATCTTCAGAAAATGGATTTTTTTATTTGGCTGACAGGACACCAAAAAAGAACAACCGTCCTGTAATTGGAGCAGTCAGACACATATGGGGGACAATAATTATAGGCAAAATAAACTGGCTGTAAACAGATCTGTTTACTGTATTTCTAACCACCTCATACTTTAATTCTTCATTATTTGAGGGTTTGGGCTTTCTCTTTTTTCCTTATCTTAGCAGTCCCAAGATTTTTAGGTCTTAGTACTGTAGGGACCAGTTTCTGTTTATTATCTAGGCTGGCAATAGTGGTTTCTTCCATTGAGAGGATAAACAATTCACTTAAAGTTTGATGTTACAGACAAATGACTTATGTTTCTCATAATTACTCAAATTGAGGAAGCAAGTTTTTTCATGAAACAAATTATGAAATTGCTTGTTTATTTAGTATTAGTCAAGCATATTGTTATTCAGAGTTATGAAAATTACACTGTTTTCTTCATTATAGCCAGTCAAACCATAAGATACAAAGCTTGAAGTTAACAGCATAAGTACAGCTCTTTGAAGAAAATGAAAAAGCCCCACCTCCCAAAAAAAACCAGTTTAGTTACTTCATTAAAGGCAATAGGGTGGGATTAACTCGTTGCCTGTGGAAGAGCACTCTTGTGAAATTCTTCAACAGAACACATGAAGGTTTGAGGAAAATGACACAAATTTGCCTTTAGGAGCAGGAGAACACGGAAAAGACTCTTAAGGTAAACTGTTCCAATTAAGCACCTTTATTGCAAACAGATGTTGGAAGACAACCTTAGTCCTTGACTAAAATATATCTTCTTGTTATTTATAGTCACTGAGCCTTTTGCCACCAAGATGGGAAAGGTCCATTGAATGTGCCTTCAAATAAGTCCTTCAAATTATATTCTGACAAAATACATCAGACTTAAGTGAATAATCTTCAAGAACAACCTTAACTGGGTGATGTAATCAGCAATTAAAATTCCAAAGTTGCTAATATGCCTCCAGTAATTGTTTTCTACATGATATCCAAGTACCTCCCTTCATAACTGAATTTATGCTAAAAATTGCTGAAACACAACCCTTGGCTTCACAAAGCACAGGCCAGGTGGATGTAATTTGGGAATCAACACTGCTGTAAATGATTTTGTTCTCCCACACAGCCAAACCAAGAAATATGTGCAATAAGCCACACCCACTGAGAACACTGTCTTTTTCTAATCACCCAATGCCATAAATTTATTGTGTAATTCCACATTGACTTTGTCAGTAGAGAAGGTACTAGAATCACTACATCCTGGTTAAGTGTAAGGTTGTTTATCCCATGAGGACACAAGAAGTTATGACAAACGCGTTTACTTTAGGTAGTATTGGTTATACAGTCAAAGGACACAAGGAAAATGACAATACACAGCTAAAACTTGGAATATGTGAGATGGTTTCCACCAAGCTCTCACCGCCGATGCTCTTACTGAGAGATGTGATATTGTAGTTTAGGTTTATTAGGATTGTGTTCAATCAGCCAGTCAGCGAGCCAAATCTGTGAACAAAAATCCCAAAACCCAAATGTTTTAAGCTTTCTGTTGCTTCCCATTAAGTGCACAGGAGATTATTTAAAAGCTTTATTTGAAACCTCTGCTACAGATACTCTCTTACTGTGCTGCAAAATTAAGACCTTTCAGAAAGAAATGGACATGCAGATGACCTGTTCTTTAAAAATGTTCTTTTAAATCTTCACAGCTTGTATTGCTTTTGAACAATGCACAATGGCCTTTAGAAGACAACTTGTCCTGACAATGTTTATCTTTGTGAAAGTGTAAGACCATTTGAGCCATACTTCAAATAATTCAGCCAGCTCTGTTTTGGAATGTGGCTATACAATATGCATGAAACTGCTTAATGAAATATTACTGCTGACAACACCTACAGGTATTTCATCCAGTAATCATTCATTAAGAGTGCCAACCTTCTGCACTGAAATCACATTACAGTACTTAAAACCAAAACATGGTTACTTTTTGAAATTCATCTTGTAAATTTTCCAGCACGTTGTACTTAAATAAGAATGTGGGAGGCAGGAATGCCTTGAGTCCTAATTCCATCTGCCGGTCTGGGCCTGGCCTTAGGCAAATTAACCTTTTGCCTCGATTTCTCCACTTGTAAAGCAACGTTTTTAACACATCCTTATTTACTTCACAAGGCTGTTGACGACTGGTTTCTGGAATGCTGAGAACAACAAACTTCATACCACACTGTGAAGAGCTGACAGAACAGCAGACAGGGAAGGTAAGCAACACTCTGCTTTTACTACCATGTATAAAAAGGGTGGTTTGCAAAGGGAGGGCCAAGCAGAACACTAGGACAGGTAAAGTAACAACAGCACAGTAGCAAGAACCTAAGACAGAAATGGAAAACAAACAAATAAAATATCCCAAAACACAAAATCACTTAGGCAAAACTACGTTGGAAAAAAAGAAATCCTCCAATCATTTGAACCAAATAAATTTATCCTGTATTACTTAAGGAACTGGCTGAGACAACCTCTGTGCTGACAGCAAGTATTTCTGAGTGCACAGACTTTCTGATGCCATCTCCAAAAGGAAAGGAAAGAAGAAAAGGATACTGGAAAAAAACCAAAGCATTCCAACAGTCTCCCTGTAAGCCACCTAGCAGATAATAAACTGAAAAGCAATAGGCAATATCTATTTTTGAAGCAGTATCAAATCAACATTATTTTCCTTCTGTTACAAGGTCACAGGCATTATGGACAACAAAGAAGGTGCAAATAGAATATTTTTAGCAAAGCTACTGACACTGCTTCATATAGCTTTCTTACAAGCAAGGAAGGAAAGTACTGTCTCGATGAAGTTACTGTTAGATACCTCAGAATTTACTAGAAATTTATGCTAAGAATGCAGATTAACTGGAAGCCAAAACAATGAGTTAGAAATATGGGACTTGCAACAAAAAAAATCAGTATTTAATATAGTAACGAGAAGACTGAAGGGGAAGAAAAAGGGAATACTCTTCAAATATGCAATAGCTTGCTGAAAAAAAAAAAAAGATATTATATTGTCTCCAATGTCTTCTGGGGATAGTAAAAGGGGGAAAAAAGGTAATGGGCTTAAAATTGGAGCCAGGAGATTTAGGCTATCTTTTAGTGAAAGCTTTTAACAAGCATAATTAAGCACTGAAACAGATTGCCTGGGGAGACTGTAGATTCTCCATCATTTGGAGTGCTAAACCACAGGCCAGACACAGATTTGTTAGGAATAGATACAATTGGTTTGGCCTTTGGGCAAAGGAATGGACTTCATCTCTGTTTTCTAGATTTCTATGGTAACAGTGCCAGACATACAGATAAAGTAAACAGGTTGTAAAGCTATAACAATCAAGTACATTAAATGTGGCTTCACGTATATCACATAATTCATAGGAATACCCCAAGTGATTTTTAAGGCTTTTTTTCCTGAAAAGTATCCTTTAGAAAAACGAATGTTGATTATAAATGTGATAATGATGTAAAATCCACCACAACTGCCAGCAAGTTGTGGCACAGATTAATTATCTGCATGCTTAAATAAGTACTGGTGTGAATGACTGGAACTTTAAGAACACAAAATACATTTACAATGTTTTTCCAGATATAAGAAAACTGATTTTGTTTAGGGACTTAAAACACACCCTTGTTACAAATCAACTTCTTGAAACCAAATGTTATTTGAGTAGCTCATTAGCTGACAGCTAAAGCAGCACAGCTCTTCACCAACAGAGTAGCTCTCCTATAAACAGGGACATTATGACGAGCAAGTAACTGCATCCCAGAGCTGCCAGCAGCGCTGGGACACGGCACATACCATGGGGTCTGCTGGCTTCTCTTTGCACAGGGCAGTGAGCCCTGCGAGCAGCGTGGGCTTCACATACAGGTTCAGGTAATCCCGAGCTCTTTGTCCAGTGGGAATTGGCTCCAAGATTGCTACAAGGAGGAACCACAGGTGTTAGAAAGCAGCCTCCAGAGTGATTAAACCCAGCATTCTTTCAAAGGTTGTTTGTATGTGAGATGCTCTTTTCCTTAGTAAGTTAATAATACATCATGGGTTTTATAGTTTCTCCCACAACAAACTGCAAAGAAACTTCCTAAACTTCTTTACAATGTCCCTGAGGTAATTTTACTAATTATAGTCTGTTATGAAAAGGGAGGAAGTCAGATCATCTGGGGAAAACCTTAATCCTTGAAGATGCATTTAGGGCAGATGAGAAACAGTATATCCCATACATATTTAGTATATATATATTATATTTAGTATATATTTAGCACTTTCTTCTTCCAGAGTGAAGCTGGTTTCTGAAAACCCTAAAAATCTCACTTTTAGTCTTGCTCTGTTTGTCAGGGGGAGGAGAAGAGACAGGGTTTACACAACGGGTAAAGTTTGTAAGCAACTGCAACACCTTTTACTAGACTCACTGATACAGCTGATAAAAAGTATCAGTAGACAGCTTTTTCTAGATGTTTCACTTGCACTTTTCTGTCAAAGAGAAAATCCTGTCATATTACAAACCAGAGATCCTCTGGCAGCCTTTCCAGGTTCTGAGGCCCTTTTTTCTGGCATTTAACTTTGGAATTGCACTATCATGTGAGCACCCAGCTGCTTTTGAATAGTAATTACTCAGCCTGAATCCAAGAAAAGAGTTAGTCTTCTCAAGTCAACAGAGTCCCCAGAGCTGACAGTGCCAGAAACACTTGCTGGAGTTTAATAGCTTCCTATTTCTTCTCATTTACCAGCTTTGACTGCTCCAGCTCCCAGAACAGAGTTTGAAAAGTGGAAGCAATCTCTGTAACTACACTGGCTCTTCATATACTTTTTTGGTAAGCCTTTCATAGCAGAAAATGTCAGCTTATACATAAAGAGACCCACAATCCTCTAAACCAAACAAACCCAGCCCCTCCTAAATTGTATCTGGAGTCAGGGCAGTACAGGGCAGGACAATCCATCCTTCCCAGGAGGAGCAATGAACCAACTGTGTCATTTTACCTTCTGGAAATATGAATCGAATTTCTTTCTCTGCTGAGGAGATGCTGAGACTGCCGTGGAGCCCATTCCTCAACTCATCAGTCCCATAGAGTGCTCTTAAGCTAAAAACAAGGGAAATAACTACTTGAAGGGCAGCTGCAAATCCCTTCCAAGTCTCTGCAGCCTGAGAGCACAGAAAAGCAATAGATATGGACTACTTAACAAGACATTGGCTTGATTTTGTTTTAAACATAAGAAATTTCTACCTAAAACTTAATGTTCATACACTCAGCATTCCCATAAAATAGGTGAACTTTGCATACTAAACTGTTTAATAGTGAAAAGCTGTTGCACAAAACTGAAGAAATAACAAGCCTGTGTCTGTATTATACAAACAAACAAAATTTTAAAAGTTTAAAAAAAACACAAAAGGAGGAGGAATCCTGGTCTCAATCAAAAGAACGACAACATCCTACTGACTTGCCCAAGGCCAGTCAGTGAGTTACCTGTGAGGGTGAGTTATTCTAGCTCTTACGCTGTTGGATGGTCCAAGCAATTCCTTCCAGTATGAGACTGCACAATTTCTAGCAAGAACCATAGCAACTATAGGACCAGAACTCATATAGGCTGTTAAATTAGGAAAAAACATTTTTCCAAATTGTTCTGCGTAGAAGTTGCTACATTGCTCTGGGCTTAACTGGAGGTTCCGTTTCTACAAAGCGTAAAAGACAAAAAAAAAAATTAAAAGTGCTTGCTACATTGAAACAGCTTAGAGCATTAAAAGGCAGAACAGAGTCCTCTCCTGCAGTCATATCTTCAAGTGCAGAACACAGAGTAATTTCTGAAACTCCTCTGATTCACCCAGATACGATCCTCTTTGAGATACAGAGTAACAAAGAGCAAAAGTATTCAAACTTAATTAAGGAAACATCCCATTTGCGTAAGATATGATTTTAGCCCAGTCAAGCTACAACATTTTCTAACTGCCAGATGATAGGGCACTGTACAGAAAAAGTGAAGAACATCAGAAGGGCAGGATTTTACTACTCTGCTGCTGCAGCATAATGTTCTATGTTTTATACAAGTTTCTCTCCAGTCCACAGTGTTAATTACGCAATTGTTCTATTTTTCATTCAGTGCTTTGTGACTCTCCCAATAGCTGCCTAGCCTGCAGGTGGCCAGGACCAGGACAACTTTGGGAGGTTATCAAAAACCGTAGGGTAGTCAAGAAAAAATTTTAAAGTGCATTCTTCGAGCTCAAACTTATACAACACAAGAGTTCCATATACTCAGAGTCCTAGTAACTTTGGTGTCAAAAGTCACTGCAAACACCAGAAGACTCTACTAACACATTGCATTACATAAATAAATGATCTATTTGTCTCATCTTCCGATATGTATTGAATCAATAGAAACATGGAATGTTTTGGGTTGAAAGGTGTCTTAAAACTCATCTTGTTTCAAACCCCCTACCACGGACTGGGACACCCTCCACTAGACCAGGTTGCTCAAACCCCAAACCTGGCTTTGAACACTTCCTGGAATGGGGCAGCCACAGCTTCTCTGGCAACTTGTGTCAGGGCCTCACCACCCTCATGGTGAAGAATTTTTTCCCAACGTCCCATCTAACCCTGCCCTCTGGTAGTAGAAAGCCATTCTCCCTTGTCCTGCCACTCCATGCTCTTTTCCAAAGTCCCCCACAGTTCTCTTTAGGCACTGGAAGGGGCTCTCAGATCTCCTTGGTGCCTTTTCTTCTAGCCAGCTCTCCCAGCCCAGCTTTAGAACAGAGGGGCTCCATGCCATGGAGCATCTTCACGACCTCTTCTGGAGTAGCTCCAAGAGATCCATAAATAAATAAATACAAGTAATAAATACAAATAAATAAAACAACCAGACAGGCCAGGGAGGAAGTGAAAAAAGCGAAACAAAACAAGACATTTCGGAGAGGAGGGGGAGGGGCCCCGCCGCCCACAGGCGCGAGGGCGCAGCGCCCCCCAGCGGCCGCCCGGCCGGGAATATTCAAATATTCATAAACTCATTTCAATATTCATAGTCTATTTACTGTTTAAAACAGTTTAAAACAACGGAAACAAAAAATTTGTTAGGCTGCAACTGACCAGCTATCGAATTCAATTAATTCTCTAATATCCACTTGCACACCGCACAAAATCTTCTGAGATCTGAATGATGCACTCTCCAAAGAGCTGCCTTGGAAAGTTCACACATCTGCTCCTAGGGTTGCTAAATCGGAGTTTATTAACTAAGTCTGTGTTTTCCTGTAGTCAGCAAAATAGTTGGTCTGCTCTGTTCCATCCCATGCACCAAGAAGCACCTCTTTACAGAATCTGGCAGCAATGTCTGATGACATGAAGAACATGAATTTTTGGACACACAAGCTTTTAGTTACTGGCTTAATTGCTAGAAACTACAGCTATTTTCTCTGGAGCACAGCCTGTTACCTGAATGATGTGGAATCCTGATCGGAGAATGAGATCCTCTATTTCTTCTTCTTTATCAATGATATCTGGTTTGATGATAGCCAGAGTTCTTTCCACATAAATCTGAGGTTCAGGCATTAAGACCTCCATCCTGGCTTCTAAATTAGAATTCACTTGCTCCTTTCGTACTGCAAAGACATCAGCACATGACATTTGGAGTTCGTCTACTGCACAGTCACCTGCGGTGGCAGTCACCGTGTATTCCAGGAACAGAGAGGTTCACATCCACCTCACAAAATCCATGTCAGATGTTCTCTGCACTTGTTAGCACCCTGTAGTTCACATTCCTATTTTCAGTGCAGTGGCATTTTGTGGAAAATAAGGCCAAAAATGAATGTTACTATTCACTGAGTTGGATAATGTATGAGGAAAGAAAGGCATTATCACACACCCTGATGTGGGCTCCCTGTGCTCTCACACCCTCCATCCACCATGGGCTCCTTCAAACCCCAAATCTGTATCCTCACACATGAAGACTGTGGTGCGGGACTAATGACTTGGAGCTGGTCCACCATAAGCCTCAGGGTAATTTCTCAATGGTTATTTAATTCCTGTATTTATGGGCTCCAGACAAAGTGCCAGTTTTCTGACTGAGTCGCTGCATTGGCAAGCTGAGAGCACAGAATTGTGTTGAGAGTGGTGGAACCAGTGAGGGCGTTTCCTACAGACCTGTGTCCATTTGTAACCTTCTTTTCATCACAGAATGCTTTGGGTCAGGAGGAGCCCTAAAGACCACGCAGATCCACCCTGCTATGGGCAGGGACACCTTCCATTATCCCAGGTTGCTCCAAACCCCGTCCAACCTGGCCTTGAACACTTCCAGGGATGCAGCAGCTACAGCCTCAATGGACGACCTGTGCCAGAGCCTCACCACCCTCACAACCAAGAACTGTTTCCCTGTATCCCATCTAACCCTATCCTCTGTAGGTGGGAAGCCATTCCCCCTTTTCCTGCCTCTCCCTGTCCTTGTCCCAAGTCCCTCTCCAGCTCTTTTGGAGCCCCCTTAGGCACTGGGAGGAAGTCGAAGATCTCCATGGAACTTTCCTTTCTCCAGGCTGAACACCCTCAGCTCTCTCAACCTTTTAGAGAGAACTGCGAGCGCAGGATGCTCAGGGGATGCTGACAGAACCTCAGAGAGCTACACACAATGGCACCTGCAGCCCTTCCCTCGCCCACTGCCCGCCGTCCCCAGGCTCCCAGCTCTCTCCATCCGCCCTGGACCAGACACAGACACGCAGACCCTTCCTAGCAGCAAAAACCTGCTCCCTGCTGCAAAGTACGCTCGTAACCCCCCAAATCCACCTGCCTTGGGGCCCCGCCGGGCTTTGCTACCCCGGCCTCCGGGAGTCCGCCGCACCCGCCGCCGTTGCCGGGCGATGGCGGGGCCAGCCCCGGGCACAAGATGGCGCCCGCGGGCCTCGGCGGGGCCGGACAAAGATGGCGGCCGGGAGCGGCGCGGTGATGGCGGCGGAGGCTCAGTGCGCCTCACGGCTCCGCGCACACAACGGGGAACCGTGGCTGCCCCGGGACGGGCTCCGCGTGTGGTGCGGGAATAAAGGGTGGAATGGCGTCATCTCCAGGGCTCATCTCAAAAATCTCATTCTTCCCTGACAATAAAAGCTTTATGTGGGTTTCACCTCACGCTCAGAACTGCTGAGGGAGCCATGCGCTCACAGCAAACGCTCATGAAGCGACGTGGCGCGATTTATTAGCGGGGAAAAAAAATAATAGGAAAGACAGCAGCCCTTCCAGGTCATCAGTGTTTGTGGGGAGGTTTCCTGTGGACGCGCGGGAGCAGCGGCGGCGGGGCGGGAGCTCCCGGCACACCCGGAGCACTGACCCGAACCACAGCTCCCTAATGGTGCCTCTCAGCATTGCGAGGGAATTACAGCGGCTACCAGGTGCCACTCCACGTTTATGGCAAAAAGACGTAACGAGTAGGAAACCTTCACCGTTTTGTGCATTAAACCATGATGAGCTGGGCATAAAGCAGAGTTGGGAAGCCGCATTCTCTGGGGATTTTCCCCAAATTTTACCCCCGTGGTGCCAATGCGTTTGCTCCCTCCACATGCCCTATCTCCAGCGATCTGGCAGGAGCTGGCTGTGCAGCAGCCACTGTCCATGCAGCATGACCCATAGTGCCCGGCAGCCGGGGCGCGGGTGCCCCGGTGTCCCCTCCCGTCCTTGTTTACCGGCGCTCCTGGGACGGAGCCGGGCCAGCGGGCCCCGCGCTATCGGGGTGTGGGCTGGTGAACGGCCCCGATAACTCCGGAGCTGGCTCTGCCGCCCTGCTCCTCTCTCTCCCTGCGCCTCGTCCCCTCGCCTCACCGTGTCCTCACATAAAACTCTGAGATCCGAGGTGCTGGAACACCTGGGGCTCGCGGCTGAGTTCAGCCAAAACTGCATATTGCACTCAAAGCCTTGACATGGCACTGACAAAGGGACAGAGAGAAAACACATGTATGCAGGCTTTAAATTTTAATGGTATCAGACTGAAAGTAGAGGTAAAGGAGAAAAGACAAAAAACCCCAAGGATGTGGAGCCAGAGGTGCTGACACTGTGTGCCCTGGTTAGATGAGGAAAAAGCAAATTTACAGCAAAAGCTGGTTTTAGTGCAAGAAAACCCCATTTTGCCTTAATTTTTCTCGTGAGTGATGTGAATAATATAAACATAGAAACAAGAAATAAAAATATGCAGTTATTTCCCTGCAGCAACTTGAAATATATTTTAAAACCAAAGACTGACATTGTTATTCATATACCTTAAAAAATAAAGGTTCCAAGTGCACAAGACAAATTCAGATACAGGCTTTCCTTCAACAACACAGGCACATGGCATTTGTTTCTTTAACAGAAATACCTTATCCAATATTTCATTTGAAGGCATTGTAAACACTGCAACTTCACAGAGATAATGGATAAACATGTTTTATTTTTTAAGAAATGCTGATAGAAAGAGTCCATCAGTTTTTTAGTTTAGTTCAGAGTTAATTCAGCAAGTCATTTCTTTTCAAAGTCAATGAGCACAAGTCTGACAGCCCTTGCTTAAATTTAGCAGTTCAAAGGCTTCCTCTGCCTGCATGAACACTTCAGAATTATTATTACATAAGAAATGGTGAATTTAATATCTGTGTTTCACTGTTAACTTGAATCTCTTGCAGTTTCTTTACTGTGTGCATTTTTTTTCCAGCCACCCAGGACATAAACCCCAAAGTACCTTCCTGTGCACCCCGAGGCTGCAGTTTGGCCAGGAGCAGAGCCCTGTGCAGCTCCCTGCACACCACGGCTCCTGGGGCTGTGTCACAATTTCTCCCGCTCGCTGTTTCCAGAAGCATTTCTGGAGGGCGGAGATGGTCTAATTTTAGTACTGGGAGAATCCTCCTCTCTCCAATGAGCGAGCAGCTGCATCTGGAGCTGCAGCCAATTACCCGGGCTTCCTCTTGCTGCACTTCCCACGATGGTTTAATAATGCAGAAGCACAAATTTAAAGTGGCTCCACATGTTAAAAGAAAATAACATTATGTGCTCCCTAACAAAGATGTTCTACAGTAGTAGAATCTCACGCGTTTCTTCTAAAGCCTTGGATTTCATAAACCTGACCTTGAAACAATGTATTAATATCATTATGTTTATTTTCTTTATAGTGCTTGAAATAATATTTCTGATAACTAAAAGTCTTGTCTGAAGCATCTTCCCTAGCTTCTGTAGGCAGCAATGTGCTTTTAGGAAAAAACAAACAAACAAACAAAGGAAAATTATAATTACAATTAAATTAACCATTGTGGTTCTGAACACTGCTCAGGACATAGCCTGGTTGTGGTATCTTATCTGTTAAGCGGTTTAACAAGCCTTAGTTGTCTCACTTATTTTTAGCTGGCATGGACTATAACACCAAAAGATTGTGGCTGCAGGTGCACTTACATCCAACACCAGATAAGTAATATTTTAAGGGAAAATACTATTTCAGAGCTTTGTCCTCTGATAGTGCAAGAAGGTGCAAAACTTAATGTCTTGCAGACTGTTACAAAGGAAGGCAAGAAAAACAGAATGATGAAAATAAGTGAAGAAAAGCTAAAGAAGTAATACCAAGTAGTAAAACTGATTAAAAATTAATCTTGCACATCTTTTAGCTTTGTTTGCATTTTGATGTTAAGTAAAGAAAAATGTGTTTGCTTCAGTAGCAATGTTCTAACTATACACTTACCACACATACAACTGTCATCCACCATGGGTTCTCTTTCCTTTATATCTTTTCATGATGAACTGCCATACCTACCCACAGCACCACCTTACCTTCACTGCTTGCTCCACCCATGCTTGCTCTTCCAGTGCAGAGTGTCTCTGACGGAAATCCTGTGATCAAGGCAACTTCCTCTCCCACACGCCTGCTCTCTCCTCCATTTCTGCCTTCTCACAACTAAACAATTCTTCTGCAGCTCATCTGCACTATTGTAATTCCAGTGAGCTTTTCATTGCTGCTGCTTAACCCTTGTCAGGCCTTCCTGTCTGTTTTCCTCTACTTGTTATCTCACCATTTTCTGCAAAGATAAAAACGATAACATACTCTCTTAATTCTTCCTCTGTCAACAAGTCTCTAAGTGGCAATAACAAAAAGCTTATCAACATGTCTTCTGTAACTCCATCACTTGCCCTGATAACTTCACCCCATTTCATTTCCTGATCTTCCAAACACTCACTCCTTCATTTGTTCACAGCTCACAGCTTTAGTTATTCAGTCTGCTCTGATTCCTAGCACCCACAGAGATGTGCTTGTCTCTTTTACCATTAGGAAAATTAAAAAAAAAAAAAAGAAAAAAAAAGAAAAAAAGTACTTTTGGTATAAGTGCCTCTTGTCACCTCACAGATTCTTCCAGTCACATCTCTTCTTCTCTTGCTGGGTTCTACCCTAAATCACCTTCCAACTTGGTTTTGCTTTCTCTCATCATCTGAAAGCTTCTCAATCCATCTTAAACCAATCTCTTGTTTGCCCTTCAGTCACATTTAGCATATCTAGCTCATGTCTTAGCTTAGGTTTGGAATTTATCCTCTTTTCGCTTCTCTAGTCACTGTTTCAGATTGGCTTTTCAGTCCCTTCTTCCCTTGTGTTTCTTTCCTTTTTCTGCAGGAGCACTTGTGAGCACTGTCCTTGACTCTCCTCCCTTCCCTCCAAGCTCACAGCTCAACATCCCAATGTACCTTTTGTTTCACTCTGTAAAGACAACTCCTGTTTTCTGCCAGCCCTACAACGGAATTCCACTTCTGCACTTTCTGCACTTCCTGCTTTATCCCAGCTTGTTGCTTAGGATAAGCTCCTGTTGAATACCTGTAGATGTTGGGGCTGACAACTTATTTCCTATAAAGCTCCTCCTCATCTATATACAGACATTTTATAGAAATACTGCATATAGATATCAGGCTTTCATCTAAAGTCTAGAGCACAAATACTTGCATGTGTTTGCTGCTTCATTGTTCTACCCAATGTTTAACATAATACTGGCTTGGATTATGCCTGAGGCCACCAAGCTCAGAGATAAGTAGTCACTGTGATCCTACCACAATGAAGAAATGAATGTATGAATAAACCAATATTTTATCTATCAAATTAAAAGAGGCAATTGGTTACATAAGGCTTTTTAAAGATATATTGTCAATGCCTACTCAAAGCCATCTTCTATTCATCTTAATTTCCTGTAGCATAAGGAATCCTTTTTGCCATATTTATTCTGAGCCATTACATTCAATCCCATTATTAAAATATATGGGATTACTTGCATAGTTGTTATTATCATTAATAAAATGTATTTACTTATGCTATGCATAAAGACTAACTCAGACAGAAGCTTCCTATAGCATGGTGTTTGGTATAGAGTAGGCAGTCTGTGACCTGAGATGCTTACAATCAAATTAGACAAGACAGGCATAGGATGCAGGAAACAGAAATTACACCAAGTTTCAAGGCAGTGGATGATATGTTGTTTCTCTCTCTCTGTTTTTTTTGTTGTTTTGGTTTTCTTCCTTTTTCAGAATATAAGCTGGAAAAGTCAATAGAAGGGAAATAATGAAGAAATGCAAATGGAGAGGATGACCAAGAAAAAGAAGGAGGTAATGAAGACAGGTGTGGTACAAAACTCATATGAACAGACAGCAAAGGTGAGGCTTGGCATAAACTGCTTGATAGAACAGCAGAATTAGACTCAAGATCAGAAAGCCCATGTGCAAGTAAAGTTCAGTGGAATTTTAGTCAACACCATGCATAAACATAGCAACTACAGGATTAAAAAATGGCAGTGATAGCTTTTTGGGGTTTTTTTCTGAGCAGTAAATATGTCATATAGGGAGAATTACCACTTAAGAAGATAAATGTGTATTTTTCTTTGATTAACCACAGGCTTTGAGTGGAAAGTGAAAAGCAAGACCAAAATCCAAGTCACAGCCTAGAAGAATTCTTTAAAATTACCTGTGGCATGATGAGGCTTGGTGAGACAAAACATAATCACAATGGCCCATATTCTCAAGTTTCTCAGTCCTTGATGTCTAGATGCATAACGAATGAGTTTGTTAGTTGTGCCAGTCACAGTTCTCAAACCAGGCTGGTTAGCCAGTCTACAACCACATCATTATCCCGCTCTTGGATATGGGACACAAAAGGTTTAATCAAACAGCCATTAGCATGTGGCAACTGGGAATCACAAAGAACTCTGCCAGTTGGGGCCTGCTGTTTGGAATTGCCAGGATGGGAGATTGAGAAGGACCTGACCAGGAGAAATGGGCAGGAAATGGAAATGAGCACGGCCTTAAAGAAAGCACTGTTTAGTGGAAACAGGGAAACACCTGACAAAGTGCCAGTGGTAGGGAAGGATGGGACAGGTTCAGCATATCAGAAAAGAGAACTGGAGAAATAAAAAGAGAGGAGAAAGTAAAGGGAAATATATGTAGAAATCCTAATGGGATGAAAATCATTCATGTTTTTAGCAAGACTTGATGACATACAAAGCAGATGTTATGGGCAGTGAATCTTCCAAGAAAATGAAGTTATAAATATATAATCCAAAGCACTCAGATTATGTCTATCAACTGAGCCTGACACACCCATGCAAAGTGCTGCAAATTTCAGTTTACTCTCAGGTGCTGGTCTGTAAACTTGTTACTTCAGCACAGATGTATTTCTGCAGTCACCTACCACAGCTCCATACACAAAAGTCTGCAAAAAGAGGAACCTGGTCAGTGGCATTCACCATTTCAGCCGTGCAACCTGCAAGCCTCAGTGTGGCCTTGGTTCCCTGTGACTTAAACTAATGTGTGGTATTTTCCCATTAGGCAGGCTATCAGTACAAGGTAAGGGAATGCACTTAGGTGAGACAGTGGCTTAGATGGCTGTAATCACAAGAAGCCCCCTTGCTGGATGTAGGGTAAGCTCTGACATGGTATAAATTATGGTATCTTGTAAAAAATTCTTTGCTTCTAACAGTCTATTTAAAGTTCAATACAAGAAAACAATATTCTTATAAAGATGAACATCTCTATCAGCCAACATCTACAACCTGTCTTGAGGACATTACAACTTTTAAGTGTACTGGCCCTGCTCTTTCTACTGCCTTTACTGTCCTGACTTCATAGAACATTTTTTTACAAAGTTCAGCCTGAAGTTTTGGTTGTATAGCATACCCTGTCAGTAGCCTATGCTAAGACAGGCATCCCTAAAGATGAATTCTGACCAGCTGTATTTAGGATGAAAACTGTCCTAAAAGCAGTTCAGCTGAAGGATGGTTCATGATCCAAACCAGATCCCAGACCAGATCACTTAACCAAATGTTTTGCCACTATTTGTATTCACAATTGGCTGTGGGCACTCCAGAGTTTTAACAGCGGATGAAAGTTGAGCCACAAGCCATATTTGACAGAGGGTGGAGCAATAACGCGTGCACTCATTACTGCAGTAAGTTAGGTAATAATTATTACTTTTTGCCCACAAGCAAAGGGCTTAACTTTTAGGCTTTTTTAAAAGATGTGTAAGCTTTACCTATATATCTAGAAGGCAAAATCTGCCCCTTTGGCATGGACAAATGTGACATTAGGAACTGTATACAGTACAACAATATTTCTTTACAAGGAGCAGTTGTCTTCTGGACTTCTCACCCACAACTTTGCCAACAAGGTTGATATATCCTTGGGCAAAAGGAATTAAGGCCCGGGCACGTGCTCAGCGCTCCAGCTCCCCGAGTTATGTAATATCCAAATCTAAGTTTAAAAACAACAAACTCTGGCCCCTCTCGGTTGCAAAACCAGCAGAGCTGGAAACATTAAGCAAACTTCTCGTCCTGGAGTAACTGACTCAGTGCCCGTAACACACCTCGAGCTAAACCAGGGCGGCACTCCAAGTAAATACAGCGCCCCAGCCGCAGCCGAACGTCCCCGTGCGGAACTCGTGGGCCCGGATCCACCACGACCGAATCACGGACCATGTTGGGAGCGCAGCCCCGATCCCGATCCCGATCCCGATCCCGATCCCGATCCCGATCCCGATCCCGATCCCGATCCCGATCCCGATCCCGATCCCGATCCCGATCCCGCCCAGGGCTGTCCCGACCCCGCCGGCGACTCCCGGTCCCGCCTCTCCCGCTCTCTCAGCGCGGCCCCGCCCACTGCCCCGGCAGGGCAGCCAGTAGCGAGAGCGGAACCCCCTGAGTGACAGGCGGCAACGCCCAACCAGAACGCGCCTTGTTGCGGTGTGACGCAGGCTCCGGTGGTATAAAGGCGGCCACGCGTCGCGGGCGCGGGCCCGAGTACGTGTCTGAGGGGGAGGCGGTGGTGGCGGCGGGGCCGGTGCGGAGCAGCCGCGGAGAGCGGGATCGGCTCCAGCACCAGCGCCGGGGCAATTTTAGTTGGACTTCGGTCGGCCCGGATTTTATCGGGAGCGGATTTTAAAAGTGAGTACGAAGGGGATGGCGGCGGCGGCGGGAAGGGGGAGGGGTGTGAGCCGACCGGATCAGACCGGCCCGGCCGGGGAGGAGCCGCCGCGCTGACCCGCGCTGGTCTCTCGCAGGCGCCTCGCGTCCCTCTCCCTCTGCGGACGGGGCACCATGTCGGAAGCGGAGCAGCAGCTGGCGGCCGGCGCTACCCAGAACGGGCACGAAGCGGCCGAGAGCGCCGGGGAGCAGCAGGCCGAGACCGGCGGGGCTCCGGCGGCGGCGGCAGCGGCGGGAGCGGCAGGAGCAGCGGGAGCGGCGGCGGCGGCGGCGGGAGCCGGCCCAGCGGCGGGAACAGCGGGCACGGCCGCCAGCCAGAATGGGGCTGAGGGCGACCAAATCAACGCCAGCAAGAACGAGGAGGATGCGGGGTAAGCGCGGGCGCCATGTGCGGAGCGCCGGGCCCGGCGCGGCCCTGCGGCGGCAGCGCCCCTGGTCCCGCTCGGCCGGGCGGGGAGGGCGGCGGGAGCGGCCCCGCCGAGCCGGGGCCCTGCAGCACCAGCGCTTCCTTTGTTCTGGCGCTGCCTTTTGTTGGCGCCATGTGGCGGCTGGGGGAGGGGCGCCGAGCGGGGCTGCTGCCGTCTCACGCTGTAAAATGGAAGGGGATTTACCTCTCCCGCGTTTTCTTCATCCTTTTCCTCTTTAGCGAAAGGGGCGGATGGAAGGAGTTGCTCTCTGTTGGGGGAGGGGGGCTGGTTGAAACTTTGTGGGGATCGCATGGCCCATCGCCACCGGCGTCGATGTAAATGTGAACGTGTTTTGTGTAAGGCACATAAAAATAATCCTGGCCTTGGAAGGTAGCGCGGTGTAAGCTAAATATTTTTTAGGGAAGTAAAGGATAAATCAGCACGATTGAGACGATGCGCGGTGTGTTTAAATCGGTAAGAGCAATTTTGGTGTGCTACTTTGCAGCATTGTCAGAAGATGCCCTAAGTCTTGCAAAGGATTTTTGGAGGAGCCGGTGTAGTTTCGCTGTGCTTTGGTAGTGGAAGCCTTGTGCATACAAGAAGAATTTCTTTCCTATCATAGTTGATCTGCTCATAAATACACATACTTAACATGAACATTACCTGGCTATTTCTCAAGCAGGTCTTTGTTATTCAGGCTACCCCATGTATTTAATTGGCACTCCCTTTGTTACCGCTGAGCTCTGAAGCAGAGGGTCAGATCTGTCAGGTTAAACGGAGAGCTAAAGCCAATGTAATAGATTTTTGACTATAAAGCAACGAGTAACACTTGCCCAAGCTTCCCTCAAGCTGCGGCCAGATGTACTTTTTGCAGACACTAAAAGAATTGAGAATCCAGCCTTTTAGCTATGTAGGACTTTTTCTTTACTATTTCTAGTATTCTGTGCTGAAAAAAAGGTGGTAGTCTTTTCCTTCCCTGAACAGGAGGTGACAAGCTTGAGCCCCAAACTGGTATGAAATGAAGCTTCTTAGAAAAGCAGTTATTCAGAGGGATTGACCTATGTGAAAAATGTCGTGCTGTTCAAGGCACTGATTCTACAATGTTTTGTTAAAAGCTAAAATAAGCTTCAATTTAGCTGCACTAATACACTCAGGAGGGAAAAATGACTGCGTGTTAAGGGTGTAGTTGTCCAGTTTATGTGGTCTTTGAAGGGAAAGCCAAATACCAGAATTTTGTCTTAGTTTCAAAGGTTCAAAAGTGTTAATTATTGTGTTACTTAAATTAGATATCAGTTTTTCCAGTTAGAAAACAAAGCACTGCAAATTGCAAAGTGTAACTCATGCTGCTGCGGTAAGAGGTGAGTTTAGCATGTGGCAATGCCACAGTTCCAACCCAATGCTATAAAGCAGCCAAAGCTGCCTCCAGACAAATTCCTGTAATCCCCCAATCTCTTGATTGTTCTGTAAGTGTGGTCAGCGATACAGAATGCAGGAGAGCCACTGTCCATCCATACAGGTTAGAGCAGCCACGGCAGCTGTTGGGATGGGAAGGTGTCCCCCAAGCCCCTTTCTTTGACCTGGCTTAATAAATTTGGTACGGCTGTTCCTGCAAGGCTCTGCTGTAATGGCTGCAGGAAGCACACACTTCACTTGGGCCTGGTGCTTCCTGCTGCACTCAGCAAGAGTACACAGCTTGGTCCGCGGGGAAACCTTGGCTTCAGCCGATAAAGGGTATGGTTTTCACCCAGCTTAAAAAAGGGCAAAACCCCCATAAGGTTCCCCCCCATTGCCTCTGGAACATAAAGAGATGCCGATTTTTGCGAAGTTACACATAAACACCAAAAGCCAATTTTATTTAAGCATAGTTTAATTTCTGAAGTGTTGCTACATTCTAGTGCTAATCTAGGTTGCCTCCAAACAAGAGTAATGACAACTTAAACTGCTTCAGTCTATAGTTAGATAAAAAGGCTTGAATGCTTTCAAAAGCTTAGTTTGTTACCTTGGAAACGATGAAAATAGAAAATGTAGCCATATTATTAATGTTTTCATTAGAAGTGAAGAATTTGAAAAATGCCTTATTGCCTGCTATCGCTGTTTTTGTTAGCTTCACTTCTGTATTGTACCTCGAATTTAGTTCTTTGAGCTAGATATCCTCCTTCGATGTTTTGAGCTAGATATCCTCCTTCGATGTTTTGTATGGGAAAGTGGGCAGAGAAGAACTGTATCTGCCTACTTGGAATTAAAGACTGAGAATGGAGAGACACCTGTAGTACTGATGAAGACAGAGCTAGAGTCAGTAACTAAGCAGGAAGAAGTGCACAACATGGTAGTTAAGGCAGGTCCAAAGTCCCATCTGTTGTATGTGACTTACTGGAGGTCACAGATACCTGGACTAAAATTTTTACAGCTGTTTAACTAAAACCTCAGCTCAAATACTTTGCTTATGATACCTTATTGTTTGCTGAATGCTTTCAGAGCAGTAGGAATGATCCTAAGTTCCTTGCAAAAACTGAGTTGGGAGTACTTGGTAATCAAAACTGCTTTTTGCAAATTATAGAATAATTACTAACAAGGAATATTTCAGGCTATTCTGCTATTTCTTATATCCTCTTAATAAATGGCAGGATGCATTGTGGCATTTCCTCAAAAAGAGGGGGGAGAGCCCCCCTTGTGCACCCCTGTAATATCAGCAGCCTTTGACGAGATGCAGGTGTTGCACTCAGAACAGTTGGTCCTGTTCTGACAATGCTGCTGAGGTGTGTACCACTGAGCATCTTACTGCATGTGCTTTTCTCCAGTGCTTCCTGAATCTGAATTGCTCTTCTCTCCTTGAAATTTCAGGAAGATGTTTGTTGGTGGCCTCAGTTGGGATACAAGCAAAAAAGACTTGAAAGATTATTTCGCCAGATTTGGTGAGGTAACCGACTGTACGATAAAGATGGACCCTAACACAGGAAGATCCAGAGGTTTTGGATTTATTCTCTTCAAAGAACCTGGGAGTGTTGAAAAGGTGAATTTAAGCTTCATATTTTAGATCTTTGACTTCCAGGGGAAACTTTTCAGCTCAAGTTAATCACACCAAACTGTCTTTTAGGTTCTGGAACAGAAAGAACACAGACTAGATGGACGACTAATTGATCCCAAGAAGGCCATGGCAATGAAAAAGGATCCAGTGAAGAAAATATTTGTTGGTGGACTAAACCCAGAAGCCACAGAAGAGAAAATCAGGGAATACTTTGGAGAGTTTGGAGAGGTGTGTAATGGTACCTTATTAAACTCTGAAAGCATAGTTTCCACTTGCTGTTCAGTTTATTAGTAATTTTCAAGTTTCAGAGTAAGTTAACTTCAGATGTATCAAGCAGTCTGTAACATCCAGAAGTTTCCCAACTTGAGAGCAAAGGTGGCACTTGCTGCACTAGGTGCTTCCATTGCTAGTTAGATACCCTTGTCTTTAACTCAAAGCATTTTAACTGATGTTAAAATCAGTTTGAAGAGTTGTAAAATTGAAATCTCTGATCTGAAAGCTAGTGTTATAGAAAGGCTTGCAACTTTGGTGTTGCATAATATGCATAAAGAGAACATTTACAGTTTTGCTGCCCCAATTTCTGTTCATCTAACTGCTCATTTAAAATATGAGTCTGAAAATAGTATTTCATATCTTCAGATTGAAGCAATTGAACTGCCAATGGATCCAAAGACCAACAAAAGGAGGGGGTTTGTGTTCATCACTTTTAAGGAAGAGGATCCAGTGAAGAAGGTTTTGGAGAAGAAATTCCATAACGTCAGTGGAAGCAAGGTAGAAACTCTGACTTGTAACTCTTTGTCCAAGGATAATACTGCTACATCGATAAACTAAAAAGGTTTTTGTGGGCCTCTTGTGTCAAAGTACCACTTTACAATAAGGACAGCCTGAAGTTTACCAAAGTGGTGTTTTGCCATAAGTTCTGTCACAGAGGCTACCAAGGCTCTTTGACAATACTTGTGGCTTTCGTTGCTGTATTTTAGGGCCTTTTTTGTCAAGTATCTAATTGCATTCATTAAATACATGTGGAGGATTTAGCTTATGCATCAGTGTAGCAATGTAAGCCATTTCAACAGGTAGATGTCTATTTTCAGCACAGAGCACTTGAATAAATTAAAACCTTGCAGATGCTTAACTTTGTAAGCATCTGGCTGAAACTGACTCTGTCTGCTGAGGGCCAGCTTCTGCTTTCTTTCTGAAGCCCCTTCCTGCAGCCCCCATGCTATCAAAACCTTGTACCAATACAAGGATCCAGGGAGTGAATGTACACTTATGGAAGCTTGTGCCTGGTCAGCTGGTTATGGGAACTACTGTAAGGGTGGTGTGAAATGCTCTGACCAGGTGATTGCTCATCTGAGGGAATAGCTAATGGAGAGAGGCTCATGGGTCAGCAAGTAAAGAGAGTCTGGAGGCAAATGATGTGTACTGGTTCGAGGTGTCCCTGTTCCCTTGTTCTGAGGCCAGTGCTGACCACAAAACTTCAGAGCGCTGTTACACTGGATCATACTGTCTGACACTGACTTGGATTGCATTTGGTTTAAGACTAGTCTTGACACAATACAGAACAAATTTTGGCAAACTTAATGCAGTGGGAAAGTCACTGGTTAGCAGTGAACTTTGTTTTCAGGAGAGATGAATGCCTAAATGCTAAGAGAGCTGAGAAATTTCTGTATCATACCTGTGACTAGTTTTTGTGTTACAGCCATAGATAATAAAAAGTAGATTACCTTAAAGGTCCTATGGTGAAGAACTCAAAGCCAGACTTGCTCAGGTGCTGTTGTTCCTTTTGCAGAAGTAGTAGCTCTGATCTTGGACTGTGCACAGTTTCAGGAACTTGGCAGTTGGCTGACAGCTTGAACTGCAGCCTGGGAACCTGTCTTGGAAATGTCAGTTCTGGTTGGTTTTACCTGTTAGTATTTTAAAATGGCGATTTCAGGCATTGGTAGGGATATGGTACAGTCCATCCACATACACAGTACGTAGGGTGTACAATGACTGCCAGGAAAAGTCGTTCTGGTGTATTTCTCAGAACCTTATACATTCAGTGCATGTCAGGTGAAGCAGTCTGATGGCAACAGCCTTGTCTTGGAGGTTGTGCCAGGTGAGAGAGCAGCCTTGTGTCTGCTACAGGAGAGGTGGCTTCAGCACCTCTTCCATGGTGTGAAATTGATGGTAGGGAATAGGCAGGATAAAATGCCTTGAAAGCAGTGGCCTCTTGGAAAGGCTGACAGTGACTTACCTTTGCCCAGGTGGCACAATAAATCAGATGCCCCTGCATATGCACTAGTGCTGCTCACCTGACCAGGAGCACAGCACGTACACCTCCTTTGCCTCCAGAGAAACCTCTGGCTTCTCCAGGTGCTCAGGTTGGACAATGCCACTCTGAGAGACTTTACATACTCTTCCTTGTTTTTTATTTGCAGTGTGAGATTAAGGTAGCACAGCCAAAAGAAGTGTACCAGCAGCAACAGTTCAGTAGTGGTGGAGGAAGAGGTAGCTATGGAGGAAGAGGCAGAGGTGGAAGAGGCGGCGGTAAGTACCACACACACTACTTTAGTATGGACACATTCTAAATAAGTTGTGTGTACTAAAATGGGATTTTGTGGATGGTTTTCCCTTCTATAGCTCAAAGTCAAAATTGGAATCAAGGTTATGGCAATTACTGGAACCAGGGTTATGGGAATCAAGGATACGGCTATCAGCAAGGTTATGGTGGCTATGGAGGCTATGATTATTCAGGATATGGGTATTATGGATATGGACCAGGCTATGATTACAGTAAGTAAAGAGAACTGTATTGGGTATAAGCAAACATAACTAATTAGCAGTTTAATGCATTTGTTCTCTTGTTCATAGGTCAAGGCAGTGCAAATTATGGGAAGACACCAAGACGTGGTGGTCATCAGAATAACTACAAGCCATATTGATCAAACTTATTCAGGTATGCAGTGGCATGGTCTCTTTTGGAAAATGACTGCATAGGTTTTGTATACAATGCTGTAGATGGATACTTCAGTTCTGTACCAAATTTAACTTTACAATAAATTTCTATGGCCTGTTAAATGTGCATCTTACTTGGAAGAGCTCCCTGGAAATGTTTTACATGTTTATTACTTACCAATAACTAGTTGTTTAGACAGTGTGGTGTATAAATTTCAGCATTGCTGAAGATATTAATTAATGATTTTATCAATAGGTTAAACTGAAACTGATTTTGAGGGTCTGCTTAAAGCTGCAGCTCTGCATCTAGGGACTGCCTCTTGGAGTTAACTATGGACTCTGCATTACTCCAGTTGTACAGAATGAGATGCATCTTAGGGAACCAGTGTCACTTTCCACCTTTTTATTTTGTATTGTTTTTGTGTCATACATTTCCTGTAATGGAAGTGTTAATTTTACTGTACTTTTTGGTACCTTTTTGGAATCTAATGTATTGTAAGGTATTTTACATGTGTTCTGATTCACCATGACATGGATATTGACGCTATCCTAGCTTTTGAAATAAAAAAGGCGTAATCTAGTGTCTTGTGCCATTCTTCAGCTCATGTGTTAGTAAAACACCAGTATCCTGTTCCCAGAACTTAGTTCATGGCAGTACCTTGACAGATTAAGAGTTGTGCTTACATGTTTTTAATCTTAAAACTAGAAGGCTGTGTTGGTAGTTGTGCTCACTTGCAGTTAAGTGACAGCTAAAACCTGCTGTCATTTCTGCCTGGAGGTTGTGGAGGAGAGCTCAGGTGAGAAGTCCCAGTTGTGGTGAGGCTGTGCTGGTGAGGTGGTGGATCATCCTCTAGGCAAGTATACAGGCTTAGAGTAACTGTAGTGGTGTCTGCTTAGGGCTCTGCTAGGAGGAGCCAGAGCTGTATGTAGGTTTCAGGTAGGGCTTGGGAGTCTGGACAGCAACTGCAGGAGAGGGGAGCCAAGAAGTGTGCAAGAAGCTGGCTGCACTTCCTTTATATTTCACTGTCTTGAGTCTGAGATTTGTCTGCAAGTTGTTGATAGGACGTATATAAAGTCAGGTTGGACAGACATTAAGTTACTAATGCAAAGTCTGAATTTTTGCAGCCTTTTTGTCTAACAGAAAAGGCTAAAAGAACTTCCACTACAGTTGTGGGTGGAAAAAACATCTTTCTCTAGAGATGAGTGACCAGCTAGAAATACTCTCCTTTTTTGACTTTACTGTTGGTTTACTGCTATTTTAAGGCAATAACTGTCATGTGATTTGCCTGCCTTGTGACAGAATATAAGTAGCGAGCTCTACTGCACAAAGTAAACGTCTAATCTTCATTGCAGTGATCAATTCAATTTTTAATCTCCTTTTAAAGCTAAAATACGGCAATTTTTTTTCTTGTACCAAATTCTTTTTGAACAAGTAACACAGACAAGAAACAAACACATGTTACTTGTGACCTTTCCAGTTTTTTTTAACAAGGGATGCAGCTATTTCTGCATGGACTATGATCTGCTGCTCCCTGCTGGCTGTCCTTGAAAAGAAAAACCTGCTTGTAAATTTAGAAGTCTGTAAGACTCTTCTGGTGTTAAGTGGAAGTCGAGTATTAAAAAAAAAAAAAAAAATCAGATTTTTAATCTTTAATTTGACAACTTCACAGCTGGACTTATTTGCAAATAAAAACAGCAGATCACTGAAACAAATGAGTACAGTATTTAAAAGTATTACTGTCTCAAAACTTAAATACTTTTATTACATACTTCAAATACTGTTTTTCTGTGAAATAAGGGGTAGCAGAATATTTTTCTAGCAAACACTTGGCCCTCCAGTGGGAAAACAGCATGATACCAGAACCATTGTGCTGCAGTCCTTCTGGCTAGTAGTGTCCTAGCAAGAGTTTGTCAGTTGATGTTATTGTGGTGGTTTTTTAAGTATGTGCTCAGGTAATGCTTCTTTAACAGGTGATGTGGCCTTAGGCAGAAACTGAGGATACTGGTACTTAAATGCAGAGCTGGCTTTTCCCTTTCTTCTTTGCATGAAAAGTTTGTGATACAAAGAACTGCCTGGTAAAAGTAAAGGCTTGTACACAAGATTGTCGCTTATGGCTGTAATCTACTGTTAATTTACTAATCCTACTTGGATATTTCTCGAGGACAGACTTGTTTGGGAGACATAGCCCTCAGCTGTCTGTCCCTCGTGCGTTTGATGTTAGGAATTTGGAGCTGAAGTTTTTGACTTAACCTGATGGCTGAGAGTGTTAGTTGAATATAGTGCTACTTAGGGACCTTGTTCTGACACTGGCTGCTGAAAGTGGTCAGAGGAGCCTGGGAAGGACTGGGGTGTACTGGCACCTGAAATGGTGGTTGCATGGGTAGCCGAAGACTTAAAAACATCAGAACACCCCTTGGCTCATCCTAATTTGAAGAAGTCATAACCAGAAAGTGCATACATTTAGAAAATGTATTTTGTAGTGGCCACTAGAAAGATCCTTCTTTATAATCAGTTTTAGATATACTGTTTAAAATAAAAGCCAATTCCACACTGCCAGAGTTGAGACAAGCTCTTGTAAAATTTATTTCTCCTAGAGCTTTTACTAAAAACAAGATAAATGAAAACAGAAAAATCAAAGATGACTTATCTGGTCTTAAGACATGCTAGGATGAAGATTAAATGTGCATTATTATAGTAGAATAATGTTTCTTAGTAGTAGATCTTGAACATTGTTTGAAACCTATGGAAAGAAAATAATGTAATTTTTTTTTTTTTTTTTGGTAAAAGTATCATTAAAAGAAATTACTTCATTGCCTCATTTTCGCTTACATTATATGTAAGTGTCTTACTAGTACTGTACTTAGTAAGAGGCTTTTTGCATTCTTGGTTTCCTGTAGAAAATAAAGGCATTTTTCTTGCTTAGTTTAGATTACAGACAAGCACATTAAGTCATGAGGCCTCTAATTTGCACTGGCACTGTTAAGTAATCTTTCTGTTCCTAAGAATAAGTAGTATAAACAGCTGTATGTCTTTCCATTAACTTGCTAAATAAAATATTAACACATTTTTCTTGTGCCTGCTATACTAATATTACACTGAATTATAAATATATTTCTCCTTAGCTCAGGGCCATGGCACTGAATCTCATGGTAGTTGAGGCCACTAATCTTTACACTGCTCACAATGATCACATTAGGTGCATTCCTGCCCGGATACCCTGAGTTCTACTAAACATGGGGTTGTCTTTTAGAGTAGTTTGAAGAAGTACTTAAGTATACCAAAGGATGGTATTACCTAGGTGTTAACTCTTAAGTGTACATTGTGCTCATGAGCATGCAGTGAACTGAGTTGCAGCTAGATGTTCTCTTGGCAATCTATTGAGGGACTTCAACAGATGAAGACATAACAAGACTTTGCAGACTTAACAGGACCAATGTTACTCTGATACCCACAAACTTTTGAGTCTAGGGGTAAGTGGATTCTGAAGGATGAGATACCAACTGTGAACCTGAAATGATACTTCAGGGGAGATCTGCTGAATCTGATCTACTGATTATGCAGCTTCTGGCTGTCCTGAAGGCACTGAGCAGCAAGCAGAAAAGCTCTGTGTTTGTGTGGATGTGTAGTCATTTGCATGCTCTAGAGATAGTCATGTCTAGGACATGTTGGCCCTCCCAAACAAGTGATGAACAAGTGTTGCTGGGAGTGTCAGAGTGATGGAAGCTAGTTGTGAATGCTGGATGTACACAAGTGTAGTCCATGCCTGGAGATTCCCAGAGATTCCTGCAAACTTTGAGGAAAAGCATCTCTGAGGAAGCTTTGTTCTGACAGTGCTTGTGAAGTTATGTTTAGGAACCTTGCCTTTTAAATAGTGCTTAGTGACTAGGTAAATACCTGCTCAGGTAGAACAAATAGGTGTTTTCTATACGTTCAGACATTCTTTTTCCATATCTAGAGAGAGAATAAGCAACAACTTAGAAAAGTCATGATTTTGTGACATTTTTTACACCAGCTTTCTTAATGCTAAGTGCGGTATAAAAAGCTAATTGGCAAAAGTACACAGATTATGGCTTTCAGGACCATGTGGACATCTTTTACAGGTTGTGCTTGTTCAGATAAGCTAAACACTCAAACCTCAGCCACAGGGAAACTATTTTAAAAGGCACATGAATCTGTAGAGGAAGTTGTTTTGTTAGAGAACTTCAGCACAGAATAATTGAGAAGGGAAGGCTATGTGCTCAGCATTTACCATCTTGACTCCATTTTAGCACTTCTGAAAATCAGGCTCAGTAGCTCAGCATTGTCTTCAAGAAAGCTCAGAAACCACCCTCTATTTCCGAGGGTTATGATCATTATTTACCTGTTAATATTTTGTCAATTGTCTCCACAACAAATTTTGCATCCTCCATATTAAAACACATTGGGGGCTTGAATTTCAGTACATTTCTTCCTGGCCCATCTGTACTCAGTAGAATGTATCTTTCCTTAAGTCTGGAAAGAGCAGTAACAAAGAATTACGTTAACTTCTGCATGTACTTGAGAAAATTCTGCAAACACCAAACTGCAGGCTGTCACACAGTGTCTTTCTACACTGACTGGTTTCAGTTTTGGCCAGTTGGTTGTATTTTAGCAGCTCCTGAGTTTGCAAAGGTAGTCTGTTATTGCATGCTTCCCTCTCATATTGAGGAACTCCATGATTGTCTCATGTACCTTGCTATTAAATCCTCTGCTTCTGCTGTGGCTGGAGTCCTTTCTGCTTGGTCCTTAATTAAGTCCACTCCAATGAATAAGCCACAACCTCTGTAAAAGAAATGAAAACAGTCAATCTGTGTCAGAGGAAGGAACTACAAATGAACTAAAAACTGAGGTTTTTTTAAGACCAGATCTTTACTACATGAGAATTACCTGATACTTGGCTATTGCTAGAAAAGGTTTTGCTGTTCTGCAGAAATGTAGTAATACAGACTGTGCACAGACTTCTGTCTGCTCACACTGGCAGTGCAGCACAGGATCTCAAGCATGTTTTCCATGTAGCTCATCACTTCTGCACCCTGTCCACTTAAAACTTTGAGTTCAAATGGGAAAGTGAATTCCTTTAGCAGCTAATAAATTGAAGAAACAGTTCTGGCCCAGAGTGGCCAAGTACATGAGATATGTGATAAACTCAAGTTTGTTTTATGTAATTGTACAGCAGCATCTTTATTTTTGCTGAAAACAAAATTTAATTCGCAAAAAAACATCTACTGGCTTGAGTTGTTTGGCTGACTGAACCAAAGTGAAAGCAGCTAAAAATGTAAAAAAGGCACTGATACCTGACATCACCAATGATGGGATGCTTGATTTGCTGTTCCTTGAGTATCTTCATCAAGAAGTTGCCTACCTCTGTGGCATGAGCCTGAAGGTGTTCCTTCTCAATCACATCTAACACAGCTAATCCAATGGCACATGAAACGGGGTTCCCACCAAACTGAGCCCAGGAAAAGAACACACAGAGCCATGCAGAGGGAAGAAAGATGCAATCATGTCACTGAAAGTGTAGCCTCAGTGCTACAAGGAGCACTTTTATTAGATGGAGCCAATACATAGAATCACAGACTAGAAACATAGAACTAGTACAGTAACACAGTTCCTCTTTAGTTACTGTGTGGTAAGACACAGCATGAATATCTAATTTTAATCCTTAGCCTCCTTTACAGAAGTGGGTAACTGTTTACTTACTGTATTAAAATACTCTACTCCTGTGGCCGCAAATGCTTCTGCAATTTCTTTTGTTGTTGCTACACAAGCAAGTGGGTGCCCATTTCCTATTGGTTTCCCCATAGTGACAATATCAGGTATAAAATCTTCTCCCTGAAGTTGGAATGCCCAAAAGTGCTTGCCAACCCTGCCAAAGCCAACTTGAATTTCATCAGCAATAAATATACCTCCTGCCTTGTGCACGTGCCTGTAACATAACGGATTTGATTGTTTCTTAAAAGGAAAGAGAACATAGCATTTACTGTTTAGGAACATGCAGAAAGGTTTACTTTGCAAACTTTCAAGAAACAAACGTGTACAAACGTATATTGTATACTGTGTGTTTATAAGCAGATCTTTGCTGTATATGAAGTTCACATTCTAACATGAAGGCTTGGGTAATTTCCTACCTAATCAAGCTCTATGCTACAGCAGGCAGAGAAATTATCTATTTACCAAGTAAGTTAAAAAAGATAATGAATGACCACTTACTCTGCAACCTTCTGAAAATAACCTGCCGGGGGAATGATTTGACCACCCACACTTGGTAGAGATTCAACAAAAAATGCAGCAATCTGAAACACAGCATGTGATACTTGAACACAATACAGAAAGTTGTGGAGCAAGCTCTTTGTCCTTAGATTATTTTTGATTATTAATGTGATATTTTCTTCTTGACAAGTCCATACCACTTAGCTTAACTTCGGTAACTCTGAATTGCACTGACAGGCACATTCATTTCTAAGACAAGACAAACAGTTAAGGAAATGATGTTTACCTTCCTGCCTCTCTTATGTGCACGCTCAATAGTATTTTTTACTTCATCAGCATAGGCTGTTACTGCATCTTCATGGTCTTCTCTATAAAGTCCTCTGTATGTGTCTGGAACAGGAGCCTATGCAAAGGAAGAGTATCCTATATTCAATATATCATAAAAGCAACTTCACTCAATTGACAAGTAATAGATGGGTATAGGCTTAAGTACATACCACGTGGACCCATTCCTTTTGTCCTTCTAGATTTCTGAATTTATATGGGCTTATGTCAATCAAAGATGTCAGATGTCCATGGTAAGCACTTAAAAACAATTAGCAGAACTAAACAGTAATTTTCTCAGTATCAAGAGTTCTTTAGCATTAGCATTCCAAATAGTAAAGTGTAGCCAGCTGCTATGTCCTGGTAGGAAGTTCAGTAACTTAAGCTGAGAACAGCTCTGCAGTTTCTTTTCTATCAGTAAGCTTAGCACCATTTGGATTTTTTTTTTTTTTTTTTTTTTTTTTTTTTTTTTTTAGTATAAAGGATGCAGAGGGACAAGACTTTCCACTAGTTTGCCAGCAGCAGTGACTGGAATCACAGCACGGAACACTTGAGCAGTATCACAAGACTGCAGAACAACAGGAAGGGCCTATTTCTGAATATCCTCCAACAGTGGA